AAATGCCGGGATGCATCATTACCAACATGGGGATATGCATGCGTTATTTCACTCGACCAATCGTCGCGCGCGCTCTTCTGAAAATAATCTAGTTTTTCGTTTCTTGGCTTTTCCTTAGATGTACTTTACTTAGCTAGCGGAATAAAATTATGCCGTAATGATATGAGAAAATTTAAGACAATGATGAAAGTAATCTTCATCGTTACATAACGTTGAGAAGCTCGTCGCATCCTGGGGTTCTCGTCAAATTAAATTAAATCTTGTCGCCGATATAACTTCTCTCTATATCATTAAAAATTTATAAATTACAGTTAGAATGCGCCGTTATTAATTTACGCGGCGAAGTTTACATCGTCGGAGTGCCTCTCGGCCATCCTTAACTCGCACTCGGGCCACGTCATGCCCCTGCTTTCTCGACCGCAAATCCTCGTTTGCTGACGAGGCCGGTCATTTCGTCGCTTTTTCCGCGGCCCTCTAACGAAGTCCTTCGCCGGTATGCACGCGGCGCGACGGCGTGTCGGCGCATTGCGTGTCGCACGCGAAAGTTTCGAACAATGCAGCTCTAACACGCTAAAGTCTCTACGTACACGCTAGTAAGTTTCTACTAGACCACACGTAGTGTCGGACGAATTTTTTTTTATCTGATCTAAGAAAAGGAGAAAATTGAAAAAAAGAAAGTTTTTAGATAGAATTTTTTTCCTACGCTTATATCAAATTATAGATCGCGCGGATACTACTTATACTTCTATCGCGTTTTGAATTCGGACCATGTTACTTCATATTAATCAGGTACGAAACTACGTGATACACACGTTTTTCCCATTTGCATAACAAATCGGAATTTTTTATTTATCGTCGTTTTTCGCTCGTGTACCCGACAAAAACAGATTTCCTGGAGCATATTCTAACGAGGAACATAGTACAGCCGTCGTAAAGTTCACGTCCGTCGCGGCGGGTCAGCGCAATGTGCCGTCATTCGGTGATTAATGACTCGCGCTTTCTTGCCCGCTTGATTTTAACGCGCTGACACTGACATTATGTCTCGAAGAAAGTCTGGCGAGCGCCCAAAATACTTCCGAACACGCTTTATGACACGGGTTTGGAAACACTAAGCTGCTAAATTTGTTCGCTCGTATACGCGAGGCAGGTTGGAGTATCGAGCCGCGTTCTCGAGTGTCCTCCTGAACCATTTCGATCGGCATAAATCATCCTGATGACTCGTCACGCACGTATAAGGACTTTGCGGTATATTCCACGAATCGTTGTAAAGAGTGGAAAATAATAATTTTATTATATATTATATTTTGATGGCGTATTTCAATCTCATTCCAGCAGAATTTTCTAAGCAAAAAGCTTAGAATTAATAAAAATGAAATTACAATATTTAATATATTCTAAGTAAAATACAGGAAGCACGAGGTGCTGTCTTTTATAAGTTAAAAATATTTTTTTTGGGTACAAAAATTAGTATGCTTGTGCACGAGGTGTGGCAATGAGCGAATAAAGGCGCGGAAATAGTAAACGTGCGTACTTGAGCTTATTAGATAAACGAGAAACGTACGCGATTTAAGTGACTCGGTTAATTCGCATGCATCTGTGTCTCTTACGACGTAATGCGCGTATGCAAATTTCACGTTTCTATCTCCCACTTGCTGTAGCTCCGTATATAGATGGCTGCGTAATAGATTTCGCCGCAGTTATACCGGCAATCATATTAAAGTATCAAAGTATGAATGTGCAAATAATAAAGAAAAAGTTATATATATATATATATATGTGTGTATGTGTATTTGTCAAATATTGTTTACTATTTTTTTTAGTATTTTCTTTAAATTTCGAGCAAAAATTGATATAATTTATTTACACATGTCACACATTTCAGTTTCTCGTTAACACACTATTAAACCCTTCTAAAACAGAAATGAAAGCATTAATCAAGTCTCTAACGACTCATTTCAGCGTCAATTAATGTTAGATAAAAATTTTAAATTGTGCTTTCATATAGAAACAAGAAATAATTTACATTTCATTCTTATCTTATTTCACATTCGTATCCTGCGATATCGATTGGAAAAATAATAATTTGCCCCATTTTTTCTTATTCTTTTTACGTTCATTTCTCGATGTATTTTATCATTTCGCGATTCTACCGTACATATACATAAGATTCCCGGCGCGGTGATCGCAGTGCCGGTTGTTAAGTGGACACGCTATCGCTTATCAGCATCTACCTCTGATAAGAACGATGTAACAAAGTCAAGTAATGCGGTCTCGGTCTTATCGTTGCCGTTTGAGAAATGGAGTCAGTCCTTTGCAACCGGCCGTTGTACACGCAACTTTTCGGATATCGCTTTTTTCTTTGTATTTATTTCGCGCGTCCATTTTCTTTTCTTTTCTTTTACTTTTCTCGAGATCGACAATTCTGTACAGAGAACGGATGCGACGAGCGGGAGCTTTTAGATTTCGTCGCTCTATCGTCCAACGGTAAATCCGATCTGTGTGACTTATGTGAATGTGTTTGTGTAGCGGCACGCGTCGCGTGTGTGACAAACCGCTGATAACGCATGACCGCGATCGACGATCGAAATTTGCACCACGGTTTCTCCAGCCGCAATTTTCATCCTCGTGAGAAACGCGAGCGTGTTTCGCATTATCGCGCATTACTAAGTATCACTCGAGTTTCGGCATCACATTCCGTCCGTGAAGGGAATTCATCGAAGTTAGTTTCTCGAATATGTAGAGAAGCGCTGACGTAAAATCTTCTACGGAATGTTAACGGCAATTAATCCTCAAGTGCATTAAGTGTATCATACTCGATATATCTTTGATATATAAATTTTATATTTAATTTTCTCGGACACTATTTTCATAATTTATTTCATATTAGATTTTTGTTTCTATTTTCTCTCTTTCAAACTTTCTTTATTCTTTACATTTTACCATTTTATTATTCTCTGATATCTGTTGTAATATTTGTGTAATCGTGCTATGTATAAATTAACTTGAATAATACAGAATTTTGATAAAACTAAAAGGATCAGAAACATCTCGTTTGCGGAAAATTCTCGCAACTTTACTTATTTTGTAAAGTTGCTTTTGTGAAGTGACAGGAAGTACGCATTCTATTGAACATATTTCTGTGATAATAACAATTATTATGTACGAAAATAGATCTGCAATCTCTTTGTTAAGAACGGTTCTCAAATCGCGATGATTGTATTCTACTACTAATCGAAATTTCCCTATCTTCTTTTTAAACGATTTCTTCGAAACATGGTATCATCCGCACCTTGTGACACAAGAATCTGCAATAGAAAGCTAATTATTCCAGAATTGTTCCAGAATCTCTATTTTTATGTTCTCTCAATCTATGATTTTTTTTCTTAATCAACATAGAGCAAATTTATATTAAATTTGCCTTAAAACATTTAAAACGCCAGTATATATATA